CGCTCCACTGGTGGACGGAGCTTCAGGAGGGACACCTGGGAAGAAACACACCTGATGAGACCGAGACCGAGACCGCGCGCGCACGCACGCACACACACAAACACACACAGCTCTCCTTACAGTGGACGGTATTAAGATCTTCATGGGGACCAGAAATTGGTAGTTTACTATACTTGTGGGGACCAAAGTCCTCACGAGCTTGAAGTATTTTTGAGACTCAAAATGTGGTTTTAGTGTCAGGGTCACCGTTAGGTTATGGTTAGGTTATGGTTATGGTTGGGTTATGGTTGGGTTATGGTTGGGTTATGGTTGGGTTTGGGGTCAGGCGTTCATTTTTAATGGTTAGGTGCTAGGGAAACCATTATGTCAATGAAGGTCCTCACTAAGATAGTTGAACGGGGTTGTGTGTGTGTCAGTACTCTGAGCGGGCTGCGAGGCGCTCGGCTCCGACAGCTCCCTCTCGGTTTGAGTCTCAGCGTTTTGCAGCTGGATGATTGGCGTCTGGGTTCCTTGCGATGTCACTGAAGGGGTGGGGTGTCGGGGCTGCAGGCCGATGGCGTTCATCAGTCCCATGTCTCTGTCCAGCCTCCAGCCGGAGCGGTTCGGCCTGAAAATGAATCACAGGCCAATCAGAAACTCAAAGATCCAGACACGTAGCGATAAACTCTCACCAGCAGGGGGCAGCGATCGACGGAGAGGCGTGAGGAGACTTTGAGCTGTGTGCGTTTCTTTGTAGCCCCGCCTCCACGCTGTTCTTACCTGGTTCAGTTTCTGCCGAAACTTTGAATCCATTTTCAAACAAATGTACAAAATGCAGCTTTAACCCCTCAAAGCTGAGCGTATCGTATGTGACGTGTTTCTGTGAGCTTTCAGGCTTCGTCATCGTCAGTGTGACTTCTTTACTCTCAAAATAAATGTTTTAATGGCTAAACTGCAAAAATATGGTTATGTAACAAATTAGAATTTACATGCAGATTTGATAGATTTTTATATACTTTGTCTCAAGGTTCAACAAACACTCCAAAACATGAAGATTTCAGGTTTTAAAGGGTCAGATAACCCGAGCGCCCGTCAGCTGCGACACCGACCACAACCACGCGCAAACATCACCGCAGGCCCTGAACTCACCCCGGCCTGTCGGAGCCTCGGCTCCGGCTCGTTCCGCTGTTGTTGACGCTGAACAGTGGCTCGCTGCTCGACTCGCTGGGGCTCTCGCCGTCGCTTCGATAGAACCTACACACACACAAAACCAAAGCTGGTCAGTTCACTT